CGTCTGCTCGTCTCCCTGGGACGCGCTCCGTGGCTCCTGTGCGTGGAGAGGTCAGCCCTAGCCCCTTCGTGCAGATATGGCCCTGTCCTCGGTACCCTGGACGCGCACTCAGCGCACCGTGGACACGGTTCTGGACACGTCCCGCCGTGTGAGCACCCTGTCACTTCAGCAGCTCCCGTGTTCATGGGAAACGTCACGTGACAACCCCAGGACACTCTGGCACACACGCTGAGCTACGCCGCAGGAGGGACCTGGAGGCCGAATGCTGGGTCTGGGCCGCACGGTTTAAGGCCTAGGTGGCCAGAAGGGCCTGAGTCTGGTCGCTTGACAGAACAGAGGCTGGTCAGCTCACTGTGTGGGGACCCAAAGCCCAGGGGCCATGTGGATTTTCCAGCTGTAGGCGTCCCGAGGCCATGCAGGACACCGTCACACAGGGAGAGAATGGGCGTGTGCGTCTCCACCTACGTGCTCCTCTCTCTCCGTGTAAGCCCACCAGGAGCCACCCAGCGTCCACCCTGGTCTCCCCAGTAGCTGCCAGAGTTCCCATCTTGCCACGCTTCCTTCCAACGCTGTCATAACACCACTGAGTTGCAGCACGTGGAACCCGGGGACGCCCCAGCCTGAATGAGCTATTCCCTGGAGGTCAGCCTGACGCTGCAGCAGGGCACCTTCCCCCACCCCAGCAGACAGTGCAGACGGCCACATGGTGCAGACGTCCCCAGGTGGTGTTGACGCCCGCAGTGTGGTGTGGATGCCCCCAGGTGGCATGGATGTCCCCCAGTGTGGAGTGGACCATCATCAAGTGGTGCGGACATCCCCTGGGTGGTGTGGACATCCCCTGGTGTGGTGTGGATGCCCCCAGGTTGTGTGGATCATCCCCAGTGTGGTGCGGATGTCCCCAGAGTGGTGTGGCTGTCCCCAGTGTGGAGTGGATCCCCCAGTGTGGAGTGGATCCCCCAGTGTGGTGCAGGCATCCCCGGGGTGGAGCGGAAGTCCCCAGTGTGGTGCAGGCATCCCCGGGGTGGAGCGGAAGTCCCCGGTTTGGTGCAGACATCCCCGGTGTGGTGCAGGCCTCCCCGGGGTGGAGTGGAAGTCCCTGGTGTGGTGCAGGTGTCCCCGGGGTGGAGCAGAAGTCCCCAGTGTGGTGCAGGCCTCCCCGGGGTGGAGTGGAAGTCCCCGGTGTGGTGCAGGTGTCCCCGGGGTGAAGCGGAAGTCCCCGGTGTGGTGCAGGTGTCCCTGGGGTGGAGCGGAAGTCCCCGGTTTGGTGCAGACATCCCCGGTGTGGTGCAGGCCTCCCCGGGGTGGAGTGGAAGTCCCCGGTGTGGTGCAGGTGTCCCCGGGGTGGAGCGGAAGTCCCCGGTGTGGTGCAGGTGTCCCTGGGGTGGAGCGGAAGTCCCCGGTTTGGTGCAGACATCCCCGGTGTGGTGCAGGCCTCCCCGGGGTGGAGTGGAAGTCCCCGGTGTGGTGCAGGTGTCCCCGGGGTGGAGCGGAAGTCCCCGGTGTGGTGCAGGTGTCCCTGGGGTGGAGCGGAAGTCCCCGGTTTGGTGCAGACATCCCCGGTGTGGTGCGGAAGTCCCCAGCATTCCCATCCTTCTTTACTGTATAGACGTCTCCTCAAGGGCCTCATCTTCTCTCCGGCAAACTCTGGTCATCTCCCGCTTGCTCGGAATCCCTCTAATTCAGCACAGGGCATGTGTGCCTCCTGGGAGAGACGAGGAGAGAGAGGGACCGTGAGAACACACCCCGGGGATGGCCTCTCAGGTCTGGGCTCACACGTACATGTGTTCAGTGTGATTTCCATGTCTCCAGGTCTGGGACTCGAACCGTGCCAGCCTCGTGGGGTCCAGCTTCATGCCTCCGTTGGGACCCCTCTTCATTTTTTTTTTTTTTGGAGAGGTTTTTCGCTATAGGGCGCGTGCACTCGCCAGACAGACAGAGAGAGAGACAGAGAGACAGAAAGCAAGAAATCACCCCCTAGGGGGGATGGCCACGCCGCAATCCCTTCTCCTCCATTTTCCTCTCGGGATCTTGGGCACGCACGCACATGCGCCCGGCGTGAGTTTTAAGCCGCCGGGTCCGGGATGCGAACCGCGGTCGACTACATGGGAGTCCAGCGACATAGCCATTACACTAACTGCTGGTTCCTGGGCCCCTTTTCATTTTATATTAGGTTCTTTGTCTCTTTACCTTTTTTTTAAAATTATTTATTTAATTTTATGTATTCTTCTTCTTCAATTTGAGCTGCAAGACACAGAGAGAGGGAGAGGGAGAAAGCAAGCCACCCTGTCTGGGACTTGAACCTCAGTCGGCCATGTGGGAGTTGAGTGCCCCAGCCACCATGCCTTCTGCTTGCCCCTGTCTCTATGTCTGGAAGACAGTTCACCATAGGTCTTTGGACCATGCCCATCCACACGTGTCCGCACCCACTCGCATCCACGCCCATCCATGCTGTCCACACTCGCTCACACCATCCACGCCCATTCACGCCCATTCACGCGTTTACACACGTCCACATGAAGCAGGCTCAGCTACATCTTGGAGAAGGGCCTCCCTGTGACTGGAAACCTCCCTTCCCCCTTTGTTTAAGAGTAACTCGAGTGACCAACATTCCTATTGTTCCCAAACCCCCTCTCCTGGCCACCTTAAGGGTGACTCGCCTGCTTGCCTGCTCTCCTTGCTTCTGTAGCGGCCCTGCCCCACCTCTCAAGCCCCCTGCTCTTTGTCCCTGTGAGCCCGAGTCATCCCGGACACGGCTGTGCGTTTCGGCCTGTAGCAGCTCCCTTCTCCTTTCACTCGGGCTGCGGGGTTCTGAGAGACGTGAGTCCCCCCATGGTGCCGGCTCAATCAATAAACTCCAATAAAGGTGGCTGTGTCTGGGTGCCCTCTAATGTCTTGCTCAGTAGACTATAACGCACACAGGTGCATGCCTGTCCACACCTGTCCACACTGGCCCATGCCAGTCCACACAGCCCACACCAGCCCACGCCGGTCCACACCTGTCCACACCCGTCCACACCGGCCCATGCCAGTTCACACGGCCCATACCAGTTCACACTGGCCCACACCTGTCCACACCCATCCACACCAGCCCACGCCAGTCCACATGGTCCATACCAGTTCACACTGGCCCACACCTGTCCACACCCATCCACACCAGCCCACGCCAGTCCACATGGTCCATACCAGTTCACACTGGCCCACACCTGTCCACACCCATCCACACCAGCCCACGCCAGTCCACATGGTCCATACCAGTTCACACTGGCCCACACCTGTCCACACCAGCACACCCGTCCACATGGCCCACACCTGTCCACACCCGTCCACACTGGCCAACGCCGGTCCACATGGCCCACATCTGTCCACACCTGTCCACACCGGCCCACACCCATTCCCACTGCCCACACCTGTCCATACCTGTCTGGTTCCAGGGAGCCTCCTAGTGCTGCACCCTAACACATGAGGACAAAAAGTCTGACTACTTTTCCTATTTTCCAAAATCTTTTCAAAAGGGACCCCGGAAGTCCCGCCCACAAACACTAACAGACCGTTTATTTTCCATTAACAGGATTCTTCCTAGCTCCTGTCCCTGGCATAGTATCTTTGAGATGTATATTTCAGCCAATTACAGTGTATTCTTGTGCTTATCTCTTCCCAAGACACAGAACTTCCCTTTCCTCGAGATGTAGACTAAGCCTTTCTGTAACTAATCTCTTCCCCAGACACAGACCTTCCAATCAGCAACCTAAGAATTGTGGAACCCACCTATAACGTACAAGCCTCCCCACCTTCCACAGGTCCCGCCTTTTTGGGCCCGACCAATGGAAAATCTCTTCACTAAATGTCTGTCAATCTCAAAAACAAATAAAAGGAACCCCTGTACATGATCACCCTGAGAAAGGCATGTGTGTCTCATATTTGGCTTGGAAATAAACCACATTGAGTATTAGTTATTAATTTTTACAGCTGGTTATTTTTCTGTCGACAAGATGGCAACCCAGATGGGACCAGAGAGGAACTGAAGATCTTCCAAGGGGTGGTTTCGAACCCAGTGCCTGGTACCAGCACAGCGGGCCCTGTGAGCCCCCTCTGGCTCCGAGCTTCTCCTTGGGGGAGATTCGGTAAGTTCTCTGGCCCCGGACCTCCCAAAATGTGGTAGATGGTCTGGTTTATTTCTAAGCTGGTTGCTTGTTTGTCTGTCTTATGTTTGTCTGTTTTGGGTAACCCCGGTTTGCTCTCCTCCAAGTCAGGAGCAGCGGTTTGTTCTCCTCTGAGAGGGTGGTTACAAAAACCTAACATTTGAGGTTACATCCTAAAGCGGTTTTTGTGCAATTTATTATATTTATTTATCTAGTTTGTGGAGAAATTGGACTGTTCCCTAAAATAGACAAATGGGAGACTGAGCCTCTCAGCTCCGAAGAGAAAGGACATTTGCTCCTCCCTTCGGGTAGGTATCTCAGGCGACCGAGAGCCCTATTTAGGGAGTGTCCCCTGCAGGATGAGTAACGGCCCTATAGGAAATTCCCAACACAATAATTTAGACAGGCCCGTCCAGTAAACGCGAAATAAGGACGGACCACTCGAGCGTTTTGGGCCCCCTTTCCTGGGTGCTAGATTCTTGAAGGAACTGAGACGCGTAAGGCGAGCGATTTCGACACGAGGGTGACATCTAGTGGAGAGTCGCTCATAAAGCAGCACATTGGTCCACCACATTAAAAAAAAAAGTCCTTAGTTTTCAGACCAGTTTCTCCAATTTAAAAAAAAAAAAAGGAAGAAGAGGAGGGAGTAAAATCTGGGAAATAAGACATCTACAGCTGGGGAAAGCAAGGAGGGCGTCCCGGTCGGGCTCTCCAGCTCAATTTATGTACGACAGTTACGGCGCCTTAGCTTGCCATGCTTGGAAAACTGGGGAGAACTTACAAAAGCTGATTTGGCATTGAAACTCCCTAAGCGGGGAGCTTTTGATATTCCTAAGTTAGTTTACTTGCGCGCTAAGTTACAAAAACAAGGGTCTCGCATTAAGGAAAAAGAATGGGAATCCTTTTTTGATTGGTATTTAGAATCAACGGAAAGAGGAAATGATAAGCTTACATCCCTTCAGGAAATTAATAGAAAAATACTTGCGACTGTCTCAGAATTAAAGGGAAAACGGAAACTGTTTCTGGAACAAAAAAGGTGCCGGAACCTATTTCTCTCTCCGCTCCTCCCTGTTCTCTACTCTCTGAACTCCCCTGTCCGGACGGCTCTGTCTTTCCTCATACTCCTGCTGCCTCTGCCCTAACTAAAGGTGTAGGCGATGTTAGCGTGGGAAATAAAACCACAGCTGCTCCTTTAAGGAGAAACCCACTGGACGAGGAGAGCCGCATGTAATACATACCCCATGGGCAAAGGCTGAACTGGAAGCTTTAATATCGGGGTTTCCTGACCCAACTAAAGACCCTATTGGATTCGCAAAAGAGTTTGAAATAACCCTTAAAACCTACTACCCCGGATTTTCAGATGTGTACCAGCTAATCCAGCTTCTAGCTCCAGGAAACAAGGCAGAAGAATGGTTTTGGTTAGCAGATTGGAAAAACCCCTTGGATGACTTTGATAAAATAAGTGCGGACGCGAGGAACAAACGCAGACAACTCTCAGGCCGCCTCAGCACTGTCCTGCCTCAAGTGTTCCCTAAGGTTCTAGATTGGACAAAAGTGCAACAATGCAAGATCTGCCCAAATGAATCAATACCCGATTTTTTTTCTAGACTTGAAAAAACGTTCAAACAATATTCAGGGATACCCCTGAAAACTTCGAAAATGGTAGGAGTGACACTTGGTTAAACTCTGGTTTCATATAGGCTTTAGAAGAGGAATTAGTGACCCTGGTAAAAAGAACCAATGCTGCTTGGGCGTCCCTACCCACTAACCAACTCATTGCCCTAGCTGACCAATTATCTCAGGCATTCTTAAAGGAGAAAACGATATGACTTCCAAAATGATGAGCCTGCAAACAGCTAAGCAAACCAGTGGAGGGAACACTAATGTGCCAGACTCCCAGGAATCTGCGACAAGCACAGAAAGGGGAAGTTTGCTATTACTGTGGGAGGCAGGGGTACACTAAGCACCACTGTAGGACACGCAAACGAGCCCTCGCACAGGGGACGCACAGCCCCAAGGACAGAGCACGAGGGAGGCCGGATTCCAGGATAGGGGCCCCGAGGGAAAGGAGGGGGTTTTCCTTTGCTCCTAACTAATGCCCTGGGGGAGACTGAGATATCCAGAACGGGAAGATACAGGGCACTAGTAGACACTGGCGCAACTTGGTCAGTTTTAAACCTTGAGAAAAAGCCCTCTCCCTCGGAGTAAAGAAACAATCCGAATGGTAGGTGTTTCAGATCTCCCCATCACGGCCTTTAAACTAAAATTCCAGCTGGGAGAACCTCCTGGCCACCATGCATCCCTTATAGCAGAGAGTGCTCCATGCACGTGTTAGGGCGAGGTTTCCTGGAAACACATAGTGCCGTATCTCATTCTCACAGAAGGGGGAGATGGTCCTAAATCTAGGAGGCGTTGAAGACCTGCAAAAGCCTACATGTAATATTATGGTGATAAAAGCTGACCAAGAGCAGGTGAGGAGAAATAGAGCTTTCTTGTCCCAAAGGCCTGACTCCTTGCTCAGGTATTGGAAGGGTAAGATCAGCCACTCCCGTAGAGACAGCCATGGATAAGTCTAAACCGTTGCCCAACATTGAACAGTGTCCTCTTAGGCCAGAAGACTTGCTAGGAATTAAACCCATTGTTCAGGAGGTTTTAAACAAGGGCCTCATAATACCTTGCACTAGCCCCTGTAATACACCGACCTTCCAGTCAAAAGGCTAAATGGCAAGGGCTGGAGGTTTGTTCAGGGCCTTAGGGCCATTAACAAAATAATAATTCCTAGCCATCCCGTGGTTCGAACCCCCATACCTTGCTACCTAGCATCCCCACACATGCCAGTCATTTCTCTGCCGCTGACTTCTGCAGTGCCTTCTTCAGCATATCCATAGGAGCAACGGAGTCGATATCTTTTTGCCTTTACGTGGGAAAGACGGCAGTACACCTGGACAGTTTTGCCCCAGGGTTATTGTGAGTCTCCTACATATTTTCCCCAGATGTTAAAGGCAGATTTAGAAAACATTGAATTTCCAAATGGCTCCGTCTTACTTCAGTATGTGGATGACCTGCTATTGTGTTCGCTGTCTCTGACTTCTGTGAGGAAGACAATGTTCACTTGCTACAACAGCTTGTCGAAAGGGGCACAAAGTATCTAAGGGCAAGCTACAACTCTGTCTCCCGACAGTTAAGTATCTGCGGCACATAATCTATTCAAAGGGGCTATTAATAAATCCTGAGAGAATCTCCACTCTCATGACCTTCCCTTTACCCAAAACAGAAAGACGACTGAGGGGGTTCTTAGGACTTACTGGCTACTGTAAAAACTAGATTCCAAATTCCTCACTGATGGCCCAGCCTGTGTACGAGAAATTGAAACAAGTCCAGCCAGATCCAATCTGCGGGGAAGAAAAGGAGAAACTGCATAGAAAACTTCAAAACAAGTTCCTACCCGGGCACCAGCGTGGGGTCACCCAAATGACCGACTCCCTTTTTTTCCTTTTTGTCCATGAAGTAAATGGAAATGCCTTGAGAGTGCTAACCCCAAACGTGAGGACCACCACAGACCAGCTGGGAATTTTAGCCCACAGTTAGATCCTGTGGCAAAAGGACCTCCCCGTGTGCGAGAGCCACACCAGCTGCAGCCACCTTATCCACGGGCGCCGAGGAATCCATCCTCGGATCTCCACTCCCTGTATATGCCCCCCTTCTGTGGGATCGCTTTGGAATTCCCACCATTCGCAACCCCATTCTGTCAGTCGCCTTGCCTCTCATGAAGCGCCCCTGCTTTCTGCCCCGAACGTGACTCCGAAACCTAACACTCCCGACCCTGCCACCTTGCTTCCCATGCCAGAGGAACAAGACCACGATTGCAGCTTGCTGATAGCCCTCTCTCCCCAGGAACGTTTGCAGGAGACCCCCGTCGAAAATGCTGACTTGGTGTGGTTCTCAGACGGCTCCTATTTAAGGGACGATCGGGGACATTGCCGCGCAGGATATGCCAGTACTTCGTCGGTAGAGATCATCGAGTGGCCAACTCCTAGGACTGAAATCAGCCCAGGTGGCTGAATGAACAGCACTAACTAGAGCCTGCCAGTTGGCAAGTGGCAAGTGGGCAGGTCGCGAACATATACCCAGACAGTCGCTATGCCGTTGGAGTGGCCCATGATTTGGGCAGGTTGTGGAAACGAGGTTTCCTCACCTCATCTGGCCAACCTGTCTGAAAAGGGCAACAAGTCTCAGAATTGTTAGAAGCAATCCAGATGCCAAAGCAACTAGCCATTACAAATATCCCAGGACATTCAAAACTACATGCAGATGAAACTAAAGGTAACAATTTGGCTGATACCGCACTAGGAAAAATGGCCTGTCCTGCCCGGGAACGCGCCCTCAGGCCTGCAAATGCTCTAACATTCATTTCCAATACCAGCAGGTTTCCTCTCCCAGAGAAAAACAGATGTGGCAACAAAAGGAGGCAGGTTTGTAGCAGAGACTTACGGGTAGGCCTCCAGGAAAACCCATTGTTCCTGTAGGTGCCCAGCTACCTCTTCTGTAGGTCACTCATGAAGTGACTCACTGGGCCCTGAAACATGGTACCATGGAAACCATCCCCACGATAGCTGCAAAGGTACGCCCCGGTGCACGTTGTGCCCAAAACAGAACCCCGGCAAGCCCTTGCATGGTGCCCAGGGTCATTTTCCCCTACCCAAAGGACGCTTTGAAGTATGGCAATTGGATTTCATCCAGATCCACTATCTCAGAACTTCGGGTATGTGTTGGCTCTGGTTTGTACGCTCTCCCACTGGGTAGAAGCATTTCCCTGTCGGAGGGCTACTGCCTTAACCGTCGGAAAAGTCTTGTTAGAAAAAATGATTCCAGTTTGGAGCTGCACAGTGACGGAGGAACCCACTTCACAGGACACATTGCTCAATCGATCTGTAAGATCTGGCCTATAATGCAGCACTTCCACGGGGCCTACCACTCTCAGTCCTCCGGCCTGGGGAACACACAAACAGCACTACAAAGACTCAACTGGCAAAGTTAACGGACGCTTTCGGCCTCCCCTGGCCAAAGGCCCTTCACTGGTCTTGTTAAATCTGAGATCCACCCCTTTTGGAAAACATCATTTAAGCCCCTTTGAAGTAATCGCAGGACGCCCTGTGAGGCTGGACGAAGGCCTATCCGAACCAGCTCCAGTAAAAGGAGAGTACTACGTTACTGCCAAGCCTTCGTCAGACACCGACAGAAAGCGCAAAATTAGTAATGGAATCTCTCCGCAGCGAGCACCTGCGGATGAAGACACAAAGGGCCCTGGCGACCAGGTGACTTTGCATACTGGAAGCGGCACCAGCTGAAGGACCCCCTCCAACCCTGATGGAAAGGACCCTATCCGGTTCTCTTGACGAATCCACACGCTGCAAAGTTAAAAGGAGTCCCCTCGTGGTCCCTGTCACACCCCTAACCGAGCCCCTGACCCGGTCCCTACCCCGAATCACCCTGGGCCTCTGAACCCATCTCTGATACCCGGCTTTGACTCCGGAACATCCCAAGACACCCTCCAGAGACACCTGGCTAAGATTCTTTTCTTCCCTCTTCCCTTATGTTTTTTTTTTCTCTTGAGATTTTTAATAATAGGTGTGGTTGAGATTTTTCATCAAAATTGGTAATAATGTCTCTACTAGTCGTCCTTTTTCCCATCTGCTTACCCCATACTCCACCTCTCTTTAAGCTCAACAGATTGTCCTGGATTCCAGCAAATATCCCAAATTTCCCTCAGGTGAAAACCACGTCGTCAGGTATGACGTAGATCAGGAAACAATGAAAGCTACTAAGTGGGACAGCTCTGTTGTAAACATTGCCAACGGTACCACCTTTATGGGATTCTTATACTATCAAGCTTTTACAAAATATGATGCTATGCAAGATTACTTGCCCGGCAATACCTCAGGCAGATTCTGCAAGGATCAGTCCAAGCAGAGCATTGCATCACCACAGACCTCAATGCCGACAAACTCAGGCAACTGCCTGGGTGTGATGGGGAAAAGCCGGCTGCCTCATGCGCTAGCTGCCACAGTGCGGCCTGCCCGCTCATCAGCCTTGCAGCTGTGGTTGGATGCCCCTATAGGTCACATAGAAGGGGTGCTTTTTCAGGAAGAGGGCCAGGGATGGGAAGCAGCCCTAAAGGACAATGTGGCCCTTAGCCGATGGGTAGAAAAAACCAGACGAACCATAATGACCTATTCAGCAACCCAGAGATGGGAATGGGCCTGTACCCTAACCCAGCAAGACCTCACGTCCAAGTTAATACGAGTGGAATCTGAGGTGGCCATGAAGCAGCGGCCCACATTGCTCAGTGCCGAAGCACAGTCCAAGCACTAGGGGTAACCTATGGGCCTCCAGATTTATGGAAGTTCCTAGATGGTAAATGCGATCTCAAATATTGTATCCTTAGAGCCCATGTGCCAAAACTAAAGCATGCCAAAAATACTCTGTAGTCCAATTGGCAGGCACTGGAGCAGTTGTTAATGCTCCACGAATACTCCCTATGCGGAGTCGCTGGGCGATTTTGATCAATGAAAGCACATGGCATTCCCATCTCCCTTTCTGTGAAAATAGCAGACTACTTGAAATCCTGATTTCTCGCAGGTCTGGCCCTGGTGTCAGCTCCCACAGAACATAACATCTGGTACGTGGGAAAGGTCGTTTTTGCTGGGAAGGAAAACAAAATGAGGCGGTGGAAGTTGCTGATTGTTCCTGTAACAGACTTCTTTTACCCCACCTAGTACCGACACCTGGGGCAACAGTAAGTTGTTGGGAGGGTAATTCGCTCCCTGTAGACACGTCCTATGATAATCTAGACATTGAAGGTCAGATGTTTCTTGAATTTGACTCACACCCCCCTCAGGATGTGTTACCGATGGAAACAGCCTGGCCAGAAGAAAAATTAAACTTATTAGACTCTGAACCAGTACCAGTATTAAAATCGTCTAATGAAATTAGTTCAAGTAAGTGTTGATAAGGAAGGTGAACCTACCGTGAGCCCGATTAAGGAATACGATGATGCCTGTCGAGGTGTTTTGGGTGGTTGGGATGCTTGATGCCCTCTGATTCTGTTTGCAACACTGTTGGACGCATAGTCTCCGCAGTTTTTATGACTGTCTCTGCATGTGTGTTACATGTCACACGTACACGCTATGCCAGATACAGGAAGAGGAAGAACAAAAAATTGCGAACCCAGATCACGGTAGCACGTGACAGACATCTTCTCCAAGGCGTCCTCCTTTGAACTTTGAGGCCGGACTCTTTCACGCTTGCCCGAAGGTAAACCTGATCTTTAACTGGCTATTTAGAAAAAGTCTGTCAGACATGTCTTCCCCCTGGGACCTGACTCCTAGGAGGAGCCCCCCAGCACCGTGGGACCTGGATCCTCAAAAGAAGCCCTCTCAGTGCCATGGAACCCTTTGTTTTTGTGGCCTAAGCACGCATTCAGAGGAATGATTTTTGGCCAACAGGGCGGACTAAGGACAAAAATCTGACTACTTTTCCTGCCCACAAACACTAACAGACCGTTTATTTTCTATGAACAGGATTCTTCCTAGCTCTGTCCCTGGCACAGTATCTTTCAGCCAATCACATAATATTCTTTTTTCTCTTTTTTTTTTTTGAGAGGTTTTTGCTATAGGGCATGTGTGCTCACCAGACAGAGAGAGACAGAAAGTGAGAAATCACCCCCCAGGGGGGATGGTCACGCCGCAATCCCTTCTCCTCCATTCTCCTCTCGGGATCTTGGACACACACCCAGTGTGAGTTTTAAGCCACTGGGTCCGGGACTTGAACCGCGGTCTACTATGTGGGAGTCCAGCGACATAGCCATTACGCTAACTGCTGGTCCCAACCGATTACAGTGTATTCTTGTGCTTATCTCTTCCCAAGACACAGAACTTCCCTTTCCTTTGAGATGTAGATTAAGCCTTTCTGTAACTAATCTCTTCCCCAGACACAGATCTCCCTTCCAATCACCAACCTAGGAATTGTGGAACCCACCTATAACCTACAAGCCCCCTCTTCCACAGGTCCCGCCTTTTTGGGCCAGACCAATGGAAAATCTCTTCACTAAATGTTGTCTGTTAATCTCAAAAACAAATAAAAGGAACCCCTGTACATGATCACCCCGAGAAAGGCATGTGCATCTCTTCTCCGGGCCTAGGGCACTCATATTTGGCTTGGAAATAAACCATACTGAGTATTAGTTATTAATTTTTACAGTTGGTTATTTTTCTGTCGACAGGTGTTTTAAGTGGTGCCAGATTTAAATGTAGATCTGGGCCGGAACCGCAGTCGGCACCGCCCTCTGCTGTCCATGTGGTGGCGGTGACCCCCAGGGCCAAGAGGCAGAGCTCCCGCCTCCCTGCACTGTCCTGCAGCCCCTGGGTCGAGGCCAGCCCAGCAGCCAGGGTGGTCACACGCCCCCCCGCCAGGGCTGGACAGATGGGAGAAGCAGGTCTGCAACACGGCTGACTGCTAGTGTCCCCACCTGTGGGGTCACCTAGCCAGGAGGCCCCTCCAAGGGGCTGGGGCTGCCACTGTAGGCCACTTGGACGACCCTGGCCCCACCCCCCCGCCCTCCCCACGGCAAGCCAAGGACATTCTCTGCCATCATCATTCGTTTGTCCGTTTATCGGGCCTGCCCTGTGCTGGGAGCCCAGCCAGACACACGTCGCCTTGAGGATGCCCTGCCCCGACACAGCCTCGTCTGGGGGTGCGGGCCAGCAGTGGACCACAGCCGATGCTTTCTGAGGCTCCCAGGACAGACGGATGGGCAGCGACACATCCCAGAACCCCCGCTCCCCGCCAGCTTGCCCTGCAAGCTGTCTGCGCTCTGCACGGCTCTGTTCCCAAGGGCTGAGGACGGCGTGGTGTCCGGCCTCCTGTAGGGACACTCTGTGCTCATGTTGCCATGCCCGTGTCCTCCCCGTGTCCTCGCCGTGTCCTCCCTGTGTCCTTGCCGTGTCCTCCTCATGTCCTCCCTGTGTCCTCCTCATGTCCTCCCTGTGTCCTTGCTGTGTCCTTGCCATGTCCTCCCTGTGTCCTTGCCGTGTCCTCCCTGTGTCCTCCCCATGCCCGTGTCCTCGTCTGTGCTCATGCCTGCTGTGTGGCTTACTTGTAGGGAATTGATGTTTTACTTCATGGTGGCTGATGATGTTGCCTGTGGCACTGCGACCCCTGTGTGGCACCTGCAGACCTGGCAGGTGTCTGTGGCCTCCCTCCCTTCGATTTTAGGGCCTGTGCATCTCACCAAGTGCAGCTTTCACCTCCATCCAAACCAGAGGGGACACGCAGTGACCCGTCCCACGGCGCTCACCTGCGGCCAGGAGAGCTCGTGGTCAGATCCAGGTGGGTGGCGCTAGTGTCCTCTGTCCCCGGTCAGAATGGTGCCCTACCTGGCCCAGTGGACGTGTCACACGCGGGCTCTGTGCAGCGCCCACCCAGGGCTGAGCACGCCACACTCGTTTCCCCACGAGGGGGCCTGTGTGCCGAGAGGGACACGCCGCGTGGGAGACCTGGCCCTGGCCAATGGCCTCAGCTGTTCTGGATGTGTCCCGGAGGTCTCCACGGAGTGCTGTGGGCCGGCGAGGGCCAGCGTCACTGCGGGACGCCTCCTGACTTCACCCGCCATGGCCCGCCTGGAGCCTGGAGCTCGTGGGAAGGGCCAGGTGACGAGAACACGGGTCACAGATGAGGGTGGTTGTGGACGGACTTGATTTAAGAGGCTCAGGGAGCCAAGGAGCGCCTGCTCCCCGGTGGGAGGGGCCCATGTGCACACGGCCCTGTGCACGTGCATGTGTATGTGTCCATATGGTCTTGCATGTTCCCTGCATGCACACATATCCCGGTGTACATGTATGCATACCTTTGTGTGCACGGGTATATACGTATGCTGTGTGTTCTTACACACGCACACGCTCATGTCTCTTTGTGCACACATGTGTATACCCCTTTGTGCATGTGCGTGCCTGTGTCTCTGTCTACCCGTCCCGCATTACCACGGGTGGGATTCCCATGGGAGTGGCCGAGAAGGCAGGGGCACAGACATGAGAGCCGGCGACCGGGCCAAGGCTGCGGGGCAGAGCCGGCCGAGGGCAGGGGTGGGTGTGGCCGTGAGCCGGGCGTCCCAGTGGGGGTCCCACAGTGTCCCGCACTCACGGCGCACCAGAGCATGACCTCACGCTGCAGCTACCCCTGGTGAGGGGATGGCTGTCAAGTGGAGATGCCGGCCTGCTTCATGCCATCAGGCCCTGGTCTGCAAGGGAGACTCCCCCACGTCCCACGGGACGAGGCCAGACGGACTGGCGGAGGACTGGCGGCCCCTCCCAGGACAGAGATCACACGAC